ATGTGTGGGTTTCAACTACTCAAAAATATTACTGGTGTGTAAGTCAACCTTTTTTTTTTTGCCAAAACATTTGGACTAAAAGTTAACTTTTTTTCCACCAGCATATACAGTAAGTTTGTTATTTGAAAATCAAACTATGCTGTGCAGGCAGGCTTCATGGTTTAGAATCACTAATAAGTATGATTGTCCACCTAGGAAATTCTGCGTCACTGGTCAAGTAGGTCCTTGCCTGGCTGACGAGCCCAAACCTAGAACTGCTTCTCTGACCACACTGTTGGCAGGTGTTTCCAGAAGTTTGAATTAGTCCTTGGCCTTGAGATCACTGGCATTCCTTTCTCCGGTTCATTTTCAGTACTACTTGCTGATGGGTGTTCTCAAAGAATTGTGTCTCTTTGTACAGGAGGTTCCTTCAAGTTGATTTCTGAACACATTGACGTCTGTGTTGCATTTCCTTTTGAGGGAAGCCTTCAGGGAGTCTTTGAAATGCTTCCTTTGTCTTCCTCTTGTTTGAGTGCCTTCCTTGAGTTGGGGGGAAAGATTGGCTTTGGTAGTCATAACTTGGGCATCCTAAGAACATGGCCAGCCCAGTGGAGTTGGTTTCAGATGATCATGGCTAGTGCTATTAGCTCCTTCGAGGACACTAATGTTAGTAAGCCTATCCTCCCAGCTGACGCAGAGAACCTGTCTCAAACAGCATTGATGGTACTTCTCAAATTCTTGAGTGGCATCTATACATAGTCCCAAGTTTTGGAGCCGCGTAGACGAGTTGGAAGAGGCTGCTTATACACAAAGATCATGGTATCAGCTCGAATGTCAGTCATCGAAGACTCTCATCCTTGGGTGTCGAAATGCAGTGCCTCACAGACTGGATGCAGTGTTGGACCTCCATATCAATGTCAGCCTTAGATGAGAGGTGGCTCTCCAGGTAGGGGAAATTTTTCCATTGATTGTAATGGAAGGCACGGACCAGAATTTGCCCTGGGATGTGTTGGCGAGGGATTTGATTCTTGAGGTTCAGGCTGAGACCAATTCTTCACTATGCTTCCACAAAAGTATTAAGTGAGGCTTTAAGATTCTCTTCCAAGAGAGTAGCCACGACATTGTCATTCGCCTATTGACGTTCCACAAACAAGGTCAGAGTTGTTTTCTTCTCAGATTTCAACGGTTGAGGTTGAGACGTTTTCTCTCCATCCTGTACAACATTCCCCAGTTGAGTCCAAAGCTTTCGTGTGTTCGATGAAGGCAATGTAGCATGGTTGATGTTGTTCCTGGAGTTACTGAGCAGTGAAAATCATGTCCGTAGTTCCATGGTTTGGTCAGAAGCCACACTGCCTAGCAGGAAGGATTTGATGAGCGACTGGGAGAAGGTTCCTAGCGAGGGGAATAGAGAGATTCCTCGGTAGTTCCCACAGTCTACTTTGTGTCCTTTTTTGAGGATGGTGTTGACGACAGCATCCCTGGGATTAGCAGGGATTTTGTCTTTGGCCAAGATTTTCAGGAGCAATTGATGGAGTTGACGGGTAGGCTTTGCTCATCAAGTTTGAAAATCTCTGGATTCCCAACTATTCCTATGACTTTTCCATTATTTGTGCCTCTGATAGAGGCTTCGATTTCTGCCACACTAGGTGGGAGTCCAAGATCATCGTTGGGGAGTTGGGAGACTTCCTCAAATATGTCCTGATCTTGGTTTAGAAGTTCTTTGAAATGTTCTCTCCTTCAGAGGCTGATGTTTTCTCCCTTGCAAAAGGATTATGTCCTTGATCTGCACTGGTTTGAGGCCAAGGGTGTTGGGTTTGTATATTGTCTTGGTGGCACTGACGAAACCCCTGGTGTCATGCTTGTCAGCAATGAGTTGCAGCTCCTTCGCTTTCTCCAACCGTCATTTGGTTCTTGATTCCCCTAGCTGTTCTTTGTAATTCCACTTTGGCTGTGTTTTGAGTTCTTCTCTTTTTGCCTCGCTGGTGATGTCATTTTGCCAGGCCCTGAAAGCTTTCCTCTCCTTGTTGATGAGGCCTTCGATGATGTGGTCATTCTCGTTGAACCAGTTTGTATTTCCTGGTCTTGTAGCCAAGGGTTTTGTCACATGAGATGATCGCTGTCTTCAGCTCTTTCCAGATTTTCTCCACTCCATTAAAATGAACTCTTTGGAGATTTTGGTAAAAACCTTGTTGGAAATTCACAAGTCTGCTTGGCTGTTGAAGCTGCTCAATATTGAACTTTTTTCTAAACTGTTTCTTCATCTTCAGCTGCTTCTGGTGGCATTTGACGGACAGTGACGAGCAGATGCTCTGGTAGTCTGTCCAGCAGTCGTCTGCATTGATCATCACTTTAATAATGAGTTCTTTTTTAGTCTCCGGATTGAACGATGACGTATTTGATCATGTAGCAGTGCTTTGATCGTGGATATTTCCAGCAAGTCTTGAACTTGCCTTTTTTGGTAGAACAGCGTGTTAATGATGACCAGCTGGTGTCCTGCACATTTGATGAGCAGGAAAATCCCATTGGAGTTGCAATTCCCGACTCCTTCCTTTCTGGTTCCTTTTCAGAGTTGGGAGTTCTTTCCAACCTGGCATTGAAGACCACCCAAGGAGGGACAGTTTTTTTTATCTTTGGGAATGTTGGCGAGGTATGGTGTCCAAGGTAGAGTAGAAGCCTCCTTTGGACTCGCCTATGGCATCAAGGGTTTGGGCAGAGGAATTTGCGACCATTGAATGCTGGCTCTTGGCATGTTGTAGATGAAGATTCATGAGGTGATTATTGATGCCAACAGGGAGATCAGAGACTTGATTGAGTTTGTTCTTGATGACTAATCCAATTCCATGTGTCCTGGGTTGATCCTTGGGTTTACCTCTCCAGAAGAAGGTGTAATCACCACCTCCTTCCGTCAGCTGCCCTTTGCCTGCTGTTCATGTCTCTTGCAGGCTTGCAATATCAATGTTGAAGTGTCTGAGTTCACGGGCAACCAGGGCAGTTCTTTTGTTGCAGGCGATTTTTGTCCATCCGTCCGTCCGTGAGCGTTCATACATTCCTGGTTCCAAGACGGAGTGCGACTCCAGGTAGACCCCTTTTGTAGGGCATCTTTTTAAAATGAGAATGCTGTTGCACATCAGCCTCCACACCGGTCCTTGACATGTAGATCCAGTTCTAGTGGCAAAGAAATCTGTAAGACTGGATTTCCCTGGTTGATACAGTCTTCATCTGCTCTCGTAGCCATTGATATCACACAAATATCTTCTGCCTGAATGGCCATTGAGGACTTGTTTTGAATTATGCTTTGTCTGGTCCCTGTCCTTTGACCTTACCGTCATGGGGGGGCCTGCAAGGAATTGAGAACCCCCTGATGGCATCACTGTTGGATTCAACTGAACACTCGGATCTTTCCTCTACAGCAAGATGGCAATTCACAGAAGAGACCCAGGCTTATTTTGTTATAAATCGCTAAAATTGTCACATTGCTAACAAATATTAAATATTTAATTTATCTTTCGAGGCGTTCACAGAAATAAAGATCAATCCATTTGAGGCTATAAGAGATGGTGTCAGCTAGTTTTATCATTGCTTTAATGTAATCACAACAAATCCCATTTTGTGTTGCCAATTATTTCTTTTGCTTTGCCAGGTTTAAAATTCTCTAGTCTGCCGCTGTCTTCGAGTGTTTTTTTTTTTAATTTATGCGATCCTTCATTTATTAAGAACTTCTTCAAAAAAAAATTGCCCTCTTTATGATCTGTGCAAAAAGATGATAAGAGTAGTCCTAAAAGATTCCCTGTAGGAATAGGGGTATTTGCCGATTAGACATGTTGAATAGATTTCACTCCTTTTTGAATGTGACCAGACTACACTTGTCTATGTCACTGTTTTCCATATGTGTGGAAAACATTAGGGGAGGTGATGGCCTAGTGGTACTATCGCTGGACTGTTAATGCAGAGATCCAGATAACGTTCTGGGGATCCAGGTTCAAATCCCGCCATAGCAGATGGTGAAATTTGAATTCAATAAATATCTGGAATTAGGAATCTAATGATGACAGTGAATCCATTGTCGATTGTCGGAAAAACCCATCTGGTTCACTAATGTCCTTTAGGGAATGAAACTGCCATCCTTACCCCGATCTGGCCTACATGTGACTCCAGACCCACAGCAATGTGGTTGACTCTTAACTGCCCTCTGGGCAATTAGGGATGGGCAATAAATGCTGCCTAGCCAGCGATGCCCTCATCCCGTGAATGAATAAAGATTAAAGGACTTGCTTTTTTTTAAAAAAAAAAAGCCAAGAGCTGTGGTGAGATTGAAAAGCTGATCAAAGTTGGAACTCCCCACTTTTTTAAAGTGGGAAATGAGTAGAGCAATCCTTTAACTGTTACTGAAGACAGCATCCTCTGTGCACAGTGCATGTTAAGCAGCTTATCTTTAATCTGTCAGACTGGAGTTGGAATCTAACCCGGACAGATGGGGATCATGGCTTTCTTTCTTTTTTACAAAATGTTACGAATAGAAGAAAGGGTGTGTGTGCCAGTCTCCCTTTTGGACATGAGTGGATTATTTTTAAAGCAGGGTGACTTTATATATAGTTTGTTTTTCATGGTGTTGATTAACGTTGGAATGCTTGCCAGAACACTCGAAGAATTCAGTCCTTCATTCATGCATTGGAACCTCTTAAAGGTCGCCTGATTGCTAAGATATTAGGCCAAGATCCATCTGTGGCAGGGACAGGGGATGCCACAAAGGGAATGGTGGCATAGTGGTACTGTCACTTGACTCGTGACCCAGAGGCCCAGACCAGTGCTGTAGGGACATGGGTTTAAATCTGACCATGTCAGCTAGTGGAATTAAATTTAAACTTTTTATTAATTCATAAATCTGGAATTTAAAGCTTGTCTCAGTAATGGAGCTATGAAACTAGCTTTGATTGTCATTAAAAATCCATCTGGTCCACTTCCCTTTTTAGGGAAGGAAGTCTACTGTCTCACATGGTCTGGCCTCCATGTGACTCCAGACCCAGAATGTGATTAACTCAGACTCTTAATGGTCTTCTGAAATAGCGTAGCAAATCACTTGATTCAAGGGCAGTTAGGGATGGACTGCAAATGCAGGCCTTTGCAATGATACCCAATTCCCATGCAAAAAAAAATGAAAACAAAATTTAGCATGTCTCAGCAGTGTCATTCTTAGTCCTGCATTGGTGTGCAAACCTAGATTAATGGGCTCAGATCCCCACATTGGGATCTAGCGATTAAAGCACTTTATCTTGCTTTGCCCTCCTGATCTTCCAATCAGAAATGGAACTCAAAATTAAATAGTGGTTACAGCGATATTCAAATTAGGCAAATAGTCAAAACCACACATGCCAGAGCAGGCTAAAGCGGCTGAATTGCATCCTACTGCGCCTAGTTCTTGTGCTACCTGAAATGAACTTCTAATGCCCCTTCAGCTTTTTCATAGAAGAACTCCATCACCACTCCACTTTGATCTTGAACCAAAGTCCATTGACAATCCACATCACCCACTTGGAATGCTGTTGTATTTAGGGCCATGTGGTAAACTTTTAAAAGTGACTTATCAGAAGTCAGTATGTTGTGTGACATTGATTTTTGTTTTTGTTTAGGAACATCTGCTAAAGTTGACCTGGAACAGAATGTCAAATGCAACCAGACAAGATCTAGAACACCAACTGAATTGCTGTGGATTTATGAATGATACAGAGAATACTGCCACCTATTTGACTGATCATTTATTGTGTAAAGAAGTGAGTAATATTTCTTGTTGGATTATTGGTGGTGTTCAATATCATGCTGTCAGCAAAGTGAGAGTTCCCTTGACAACATTGAAGGGAATATTCAGTTCTAGGCTTCGTATATGCTTGCCCTTAGAATTTCCTGGAAATTCATGTTAATGCACCCCCATCAATCTGTTTGTTCTTGGAAATATGATATTGGGTTCTGTCTTGGATTTGTGAAAGTGGCTGTGTAGAAACAAATGGTTATCTATTACAGTTCGGCAATGTGTACAGGTTTGAATTAACTTTCACTCACTCTGATAGTGCTGTAGAGGAGAGAGATGGGAGTGGGAGTGTGTGATGTTTAGAAAGGAGACAGGATCCTTGGAACTATTCCTGGTGGCAAAATGGATTTGTGACGCACATTTCCAGTCGGTGGGACAAACATAGGTATTAAATTTCCCTACAATAGCTGTTCCCCTTTAGTTGAAGGGTCAGTAACAAGGGAGCTTAATCTTAAGGTGAAAGGCAGGAGGTTTAGAGGGGATTTGAGGAAAATACTTTCACCCAAAGGGTGATGGGAATCTGGAATGCACAGGCTTGGAGGGTAGGTGAGATGGGAAACCTTAAACCTTTAAAAATTATGTAAATAAACATTTGAAACATCATAACTTTCCAGCATTCGGCCCATAGCCTTGGAATGTGGGATTAGTTGTTTTTTTGTGTTGGTGAGGACTCAATGGGCCAAAGGGTCTCTTCTGTACTCCGTGATTCTATGATCTAAGATTAAATCTCCCCAAAGTTAGACGCGGCTTTTCTGTGTAACTTTCTACCCTAATGTTGTTCAATGAGACTGTTGCATACCAATTAGAATTCAAGCAGAAGGTTAATTTTTGAAAGAAAACCCTTGTAGTTTCTGTACTGAACAAATGTAACATTCCAAAAATAATTATAATTCCTGCATAGATGTTTTATTGAAGAGCGTCTGTGTGACCTATCTTGTCTGGTGAAAGTGTTTCAAATTTTTCCTTTAAATGCTGTCTTCATTTTTTGACAGGACTGCAAACCAACTGGTTGTAAAACTTGTGGGAATGTCATGCTGACACATTCTGGTCAGGCTCTAAGGATTCTGGGTGGAGTGGGGCTTTTCTTCAGCTTCACTGAGGTGAGGTTTGTTCTGTTGTAAAGTAACATTGATTTTGCGTCTTCTGAAATGTCTTGTGGAAGTATAATTTTCTTTTTAAAAGAAAAGGTTTTTTTTTCAATTCCACTGAACCATTGCAGTTCTTTGTGAAATCCTAAAGCTCACAGGTGCTACATAGAGCTGCCAATTGTCCTGCCTTGGACCATTTTAATTTTTCTTTTAGTAGGTTTCTTTACACGGGTATTTCTGAAATATAGATGAGACTCAGATAATCTAGTTCTTTGACATTTTCCATTTGTTTTATGATGTGGGGATATCAATAAAGATTTTTAATGAATAAATCCTCCTTGCATATCAGCATCATTAGCATAATGCAAAGTCTCTAAGTTTTGTCATTGGTCATATGGCCAAACCCAGGGTCGGACATGGGGAGGCAATGCCCTAGTGGTATTATACCTGGGTCTCTGGATTAACAGTCCAGTGAATGTTCTGGGGACCCTCGTTTGAATCCAACGATGGCAGGTTGTCAAATTGGAATTCAGTAAATATCTGGAGTTAAGAATCATATGATAATTGTCAACTGTTGTAAAACTCCCATCTGGTTCACTAATGTCCTTTACTGAAACCCTAATCCTGTGAATGTATTTTTTTATTCAATCAGTATACAAAACTATAGCAGCAATCCTGGCTAATTATTAGGGTGGTGACTGATAGAAGAGAGATTGGAATGGCAAGGGCTGAGTGGTGTGCCGAACCCAAGTGATAACAGCAGCCTGAAAGTAAATAGCACCAGTAGGAGATCAGTGTCTGACCCAGACCTAGGAACAAGTCGGTGTTAAGCGCGTTGTTACGATCTCCGATCAGATCACCAAATGGTCTCGTTATGGACCAATAATCTTAAATTTTGACAAAAGGTGAGACCCAGTGGACTTGCTAAGAGAATAAAGCCACAAGATTCCACAGTTTAGAACAAACAATAATACTACACAAGTTGGAACAGTAGTATGAGAAATTATTACATGTACGACTTCTTTCTAAACACCCAGAATTAATGTGATAAACATGGATAATATACTGCAATCACACCCTAAAGCACACATCAAATACCAGATACAATCATGACTGTTCCCACAGAATTCTCAGCAATTCCTCCCCAGATATTAATGATACTGTGGGTCATCAAATCTCATGAAATTTCATGCAATTACAATTCTTCACTTTTGCTGATCCTGTCTTGCAATTCCCTCTTGAGCTGTTCCATCATTGACTGCCTCAACAGTCGCTCCTGTTCTGATTGATCACTTTTTTTCCTGGGTTTATGCCCCCGAACTCTGAAACTGCACTCCAGCACTCATTCATGAGCATAACTCCAGCTCTTCACCAACAACTAACTTTACAGAGTCAGATACATCCCTCGTGAAATAACTCCACCCAGGCCGGTATCCCGTCACCAAGATACCCTTTATTTATGTGTGGAGAGTCCTTGACACTGGTCCAGCTCCCTCAGAGTAAACAGGATGTCTGACACTCATGTTCTCATCAGTCAGCCAGCATTCTCTGATTTGGGGCTGTTAATCTGATTCAGTCAGGGAACTCCTATTAAGAGGTCCACCTGGCTGACTTCATTACAATCACTACACCTGAGATTTTCCTGAAGCTCCAATCTTGCTCCGTCCTATGAAGCAAATACTGCTGACCATTTTCAAGCTCCCACTTTCAGCTTAATTGAAGTATTCGTGCTTGCAGGCTTCTTCCAAGCTTTCCTCCAACACAGAATTGGTGACTTTACCATTATGACTCTTGGCTACTTTCTGATTCCTAGATCTTCCTGAACTATCCAACTACTCTTGCCTTCCTGCAGTATAGGTAAAAGTCAGCACTCCTAAAATGGAGTGAATGGACCTGTCTGTCTCTTTCTCTGACTAACTATGCCCTTGGAACTGCTTTTCAGTGACCCTGAACTTTCCTGAGTAACCTATTGAAACTTTGCAATAGGCCCCACCCCTATCACAAGACGGAATTGAATGTTGCCACTGCACAACTCTTTGACTTGCAGGGGAACAGAGAGTTCTTAGTCTTGCTGTTTTCACAGTATGCTGGCTTTCAGCACAAAGGAGGATTCCTCACAATGGGAAATGGAGTTCCAAATGTCAACCTAACCATGAACAAAGCTGTGTGAAATTTACATTGAGAGAAGTCTTGCAATGCCCACAGGCCCTCAAAGTAAAACACTTACCAATTTAATATCCTCAGTAAATTGACTGCAATTTCAAAAATAAATTTATGGTTTAGCCACAACTTTTAATCCTTAGTCGTTACCAATGAGGTGTGGCTGGAAGGTCAGTTTCTCCGTGGAGAACCATTAATGATCAAAGCAGCCCTTTGAAATTTGCAAAAAAAAAAACAACCTGGATTATAAATGCTCTAATAACTTCTAATTTCAAGCTGTGGGTGATTGTTTGGTATTTAAAGTTTGATATGATCTGAACCTATTAATCAGTTTACTGCCAAATATTTGCTGTTGGATGTCTATTGTTCTTTGGGAATGCTTTCTCCAATATTACCTTCTGACATCAAATATTCAATACATTAGTTATGTTTTGATTTAAATGTAATGTGCCAGTGAGAGCAAGAATGAAAGGTAGCTGGAAGAAAATATCAGTATACTGATTCTCCTTCTTTGTTCCCCCACCCCCAGATCCTTGGAGTTTGGCTAGCTATGCGTTTTAGGAATCAGAAAGACCCTCGAGCAAACCCTAGTGCCTTTTTGTAGAACTTTCACCTTTCTCTGCACTGTCATGACCGTTGTATTCTCTAGCTGCTAGTCAAAAAATCTTTCCCCAGGGATTATTTTCATCAAAGCTCATACATATGGAAGACAGAAGAGGATTGTCTGCTTACCTTCACTAATGCATGATGGGATGGAGCAAGCTAGCCAGACTCTCTGAATTATCATGATGCCACAGCTGATGAGATTCAATGACATCTGGGTTGTACTAACTGAATGCTTCATCCTTGATGTGAAGTCCCTGGTTGTGTGACTATGTTTGAGTGTAAGAACCAGAACTTGAAAAATGTGCAAACTGTTGAAATAATTTTTAAAAATTTAGTCCAGAACATGCTGTTTGTTTATGATGTAGTTAGATATGTCGGGGTAATAATGCATCATTACAGCTACTATTAATGTTCATCCAAATTTTAGACTTGTTAATGGGGGGGGATGCAAATTGAGGACAGGAGAGAAACTCCCTTTTAAATAAATGTTTTAATTGATCACGCCTTTTTAACGTACAGTAATTTTACAAGGAACCCTTGTCACACATTATCAGAGTTCAAACTTGACAGTTTTAATTTGCAATACAGGATTGAGTTGGAGGAGTTGTACTGATTTCAAATTTTCAATGAACGTCCAGCTTCAGTACTGCTGCAACTTTGGTAGTGAACATATTTGCTGAGGTCCTGCTTGTAGTTACACAAGTCCCATGTCTTAGCTTCTGCTTTGGTGTGCAGCCAAAGTTTCCATTTTACTCGTGCATTCTAGTTAATGGCGAGGGGCGTGATTGACAGTCTGGTAGTTGCACTGTTCTTCCAACTTCCTGTGGGACAGCTGTAGATTTGTAGCTCCACCCTATCTGGCAATTGTAATTCAACAGAATGTCTTTGAAGTAAAGGGAGGGAGAGACAATATATGTGAAGAGTTAACTCTTTTTTTTTTTGCCTAAGACCTGGTTCAAACTACCTGTCATAAAGACTCAAGTCCATATTACAATTGTCTGGCTTTGGTGTTTAAAATAGTTATGCCAATACCACTGTAATGTGATGTACCATTATACTTCCAGCCTTCTGTTGTTCTTCCTAATTGTTTAAGGGAGCAGTCTAAAGTTGTATTAGAGCCATGTCTGATTTTGTATATCCTGGATTACAGTGCTGAAAGTCGAGGCCACACTGCTGCTTTTCCTATAGTGTAGACCTATGTTCCGTACCAAATTAGAATTCAAGGGGATGGAGGACTGTCTTTTCTCGTGCTATGAACAAAATGCAGCATCAGTATTATAAAGATTCTACATTGTACTTTAACTGAGCTAATGTGACCATCTAATCCCAAATCCTGGTTGGGAAATGTCTGCTGCCTTCACTTTTTAAATGATGTGCCATCAATCTGTGTGGACAGTATCGACACTCAACTAGAGAAATGCAATTGCCAAACTTAACATTCTAAATCCCTTCAATTAACATAGGTAAGCTTTAATTCTATTATTTTTAAACTAAAAATCTAGAGACCTTGGTGAATGTTTTCAATTTTCCTTTTCACTGAGGCAACTAAAGTGACTACAAGGTGGATTCTCACAAGGATCTAAGGTTTGAAATAATGTGGTGATGATGATGATGATGATGATGGATATGCAGTATACATTGGTACATGCTGTTTAGAAATTACCTAATTGGCCTCTTACCAAGTTATTTAACATTCTTTGTTTAATTTTATGGAAGAAAATGTTTAGTTATGAATTTAGTAATCATTACAGTAATGTAACTGAACTAGTAATCCTGAAGCTTGGGCTAATAATCGCACCATGGTAGTCGTAGAGAATCTGAATTTCTTTTTCACTTTAAAAGACCTCCAGTAAAAGTGAACGTGGAGGTATCAGACTGAATTTTTTAAAAAATGGTTCACTGATATCATAAGGATGGAAACCTACGTTCCTTGATCAGGCCTCTAATTCTTTAATCTTGGCTGTGGCTAAGCTAGACACTTGGTGCTACATGCAGCAGTTTAAGAAGGCAGGCCACCATTACCCAATGCACCTGGAGGTGGGCAATAAATCACTTAAATTTTTAAAAATTAAGCCAAACTTGCAATAATTATTTAATCCTTCATTTAGGATGTTGTGTACCAATTGCATGAAATGTTCTGTATCTTCATGGGTATTCTGTACTGTTTTAGTCATGAAATTATACATTAAATTCTTCGAACAGTTCACTGTCGTCAGAATATTTTCTGATACTAAGAGTTTCATCCTCTGACTATTCATTATACATTGCTAAGTTAATATATGTATTTTTAAGATTGAAATGTTTCTAGCCAAAAGTGAAACTAAGGAAAGAGGTGTTAGCTTGAGACTCAAATGTACACTAACATGGGACCCAAGAATACACCTGCCCCATTCATAGAGCTGGACTGTTTCTTTCTTTAGTGGTTTTCCATTTTTACGTTGAGTTTTAGCAATGTGTTTGTGATTCAGGCAAATTTTGCTCCTGGCTCTTTGTCTTGCCCAATATCATGATTTTACAGTTCTGTGTACTGACTTTAATTGAATGCACTCAGTATCTATGGCAGGGGCATATAGCCATGGAGAGAATCCATAAAGGGCATGAAAGAGATGAAGTTTTAATTCAATAAAAAGTAGCCTAATGGTGACCATGTAACTACTGTTGACTGTTGTAAAAACCCATCTAGTTCACTATTGTTGTTTTTGGGGAAGAAAATCTGCCATCTGTACTGGGCTTGGCTGACGTGTGACTCCAGACCCACAGCAATGTGACTGACTCTTAACTGCCATCTGGGCAATAAATGTTGGACTAACCAATTACATGTGCATCACAAGAAAGAATTATTTTTAAAAAAAAAAAAAAAAAAAATCAGGGGATCATTTATGTCGGCAGTGAGCTGGCACGATGCAGGCTGCAGTAAAGTGGATTTGGAAAGTTTAAGCCAACTTGAAGTTTAGTGGTCTCCAGTTACTAGACCCAGCATGTGCAAGGCTGGAGGGCCTAAAATAGGAACATGTGAACCTTGCTATGTCCACTGGATTCTGGCCCACTGCTTCTGGGAGTGTGGGCAGGATCAAGTGTGTACTGCACGTTGGTGATTGAAATCTCTTTGTAATGGAACTCTTCTGGAATTGTCCTGTGTTTTTAGGATGATAATACCAAATATTTTGATTTAGATATACTTAATTGTTTGCAAAATTTGTAATGGTACCAACAACCCGAATCAGTCTTTCTGAAGTACGCACAACTCTTGTATTCTAAATAATGGTAAACTAAAGCCCTTTAGGGAAACTCTTGAGCAGATTCTAATCAATGAAAGACCTGTTTTTTTTTATTCCAGCATAATCTGGATTTTACAGGTTCACAAGAGGTAAATGACGATGTTTTATTGTATAGAATGAAGTGGAAAAATATTTCTGCAATAAATGCTTTAATTCACTAACAATATTTTTCTTGTCAATCTGTTGTAGCAACTAGCATTATCACAATGTGGGACAATAAAAGTACAAATCCAAGTTCCACTATTCAGAGTTCTTTATCCTACTTGTGTCATTGTGAGGTGTAAAGCAAAACCTGGGATCTTCCCAAGGGAAAAGAGAATGTCTGAAGGATTCCCAGCAAGAAGGAAAACATGATTAGATAATGGCTCAATTAAACTTTGAGGAGCAAGTTCAGGGAAGCTTGCTGTTAAAATAGAAAACCAGGTCAATACTAAGAAATACACATTTTAACAAGATTATCTGCCAAACACTTTTTTTTTTAAATTGGTGTATATGATTGGACTTTGGAGATGCTCCAGTATCATGTTAAAACTATGGGGGGTGACATTCAGCCCTATTTTGTTACAAAGTGATGCTAATAGTTTTTTTTTCTTGTAATGAAAATGGATTGGTAGACTTTGCATTCTATGGTACATGGGCAGGAAGTGAGTGCTCATTAGTCAGTCTCCACATCTGTAAAGAGGAAATTGCAAAACCACATTTATACCAAAAATGTTCAGGTGAGCAAGAAAGCCCATGTTCAGTGTGAACAAAGGCTGTATAAGCTAACTTCACTCCAGAAACAGACAATTGGCATCCAGAAATGTAAAAGTATGCAGCTTTGCCATGTTTCTTTTTCTCTTCTCCCACCCCTTCCCCTACAACACATGCATGCATGTGAACAGCTTAATAAGTTACAAAATATTTAACTGCAACTCCATCAATCCAAAAACTTGAAAGGTAATGCTGTGGGGGGAAAAAAAGTTACTATTTTTCTCTCCATTTTATTTACATGGTCTTATTTTGAAGAAATTCAATCAATCTAATGAAAGCCTGTACTATATTTAGTGTATATGTCCACACTGTGCCAGTGTTGAGGGGTTAAACACATTGGTAACCATGTTAATGTTATATATGTCAATTCCCAATTAGGTTACTGTTCTTCACCTAGAGCATATTTTTCCCAGTGCAAGTAGAGCAGTCAGTCTTGCACTTTAAGAGCAAGCAACTTCATCACAGCATTTTACAGACTTCTGCATTCAACATTTAGTTATATTTCAGGCATAACTTTTTTTTTTGTACTGTTTCAGAGCAGCTGCTATAGATTCTGCTTTTTTTGAGTGCACCTTCTACTGGACCCAGCTTGTTTCTTTACTTGGCCTGATCACATTTCCTTTTTACCTTTCACCATTATCACTATCTCCTGCCTTCCATGCTAACACAGACCATGTATATTTCAGGTGCTTAACAGGTACAGAATGCATTCCAACACGTGCCACCAATGCCGTAGGTCTGACTGATCAGAAGTGGCTGGATACAATGAGAATAGTTGTTTTAAAAGTCTACATTTACAATACTAAAAGCGTAATAGACAAGATCTTAGCTGGTTGAATATCAGACTGCAAAATGGCAGCTCTTGATGTCAAAATGATGAGATTTGAATATGCTAAAGTGCATGTTTTTCTTTTTGCCAGGTAGGGTACTTCATAGGAGGCCTTATGCCACCAGGGTAGCATCCCTGTCTCTGAAGAAGCTCCCAGATTCAAGTTCCATTCAAGGGCTTAAAAGCCAAGGAACGTATACTCTTAACTTCACTAAACCGGTTGATTATTGATGTGCAAATTCTTCCAACAAATGCAAATAGTAAGCAGTAAGAATAGGAGAGATGCCGGACGTTGAAAGTTGGATCATCTACCTCACTAGCTATAGCTCCAACGTACATGTGAAAAGTCTATGTGGCCCCAGTAAATCTGACTCCTTGAATATTGTCATCCAATCACAAGTGCTATATAAATACAAGTAGTTTTTATAGTCCCACTCTCAGCACAATTGCCATATGCAAGAAGAGGAAAAGGCAAGGCTAAAAGAAAAGAGTGGGAGAAACAAAAAAGCAGTCACCCTAGCAAGAAAGTCTAAAGTACTACTTTTCCCCCCCCTCTTTTCGGCTGAACAGCAACATTTGGGACTGATGGTTAGTCAGAGGCTACTCTGGGCTGACCAGCTGAGGTACTTGGAAGCACTAGAAGGGGTAGTCACGATCAATAGCTTTAAATATGATCGGATGGTAAGCAAACAAGCCAAGTACCAGAATAGAACAATGACTGGCTCATTCTGTAACTATTTAGTGGCACTAGGCATTCAGAACTGTTATTTGGAAACCGGTTCGTTCATGTTCCTGAGTTACTATTAAAACTGTGGGGGGAAAATATAAATGATGTACTCCTTGCAAGGAAATGGAGGGCAAGACAAACCTCAAAGTGAGTGGCTGAGGGCAGTTAAGAACCAACATTACTGTGGATCTACAGTCACATACACCATACCAGGAAATATTTGTTTGGCATCTAAATTCAGCTAATCCCAAAAGTTGTCACTGATTGCACAACTCTAAACTAACATCAATTTTTTTTATATGCTTTTCTATAATATACACTGAATAGTAAAATAATGAATGCCATCTCTCTACTTATTGATTACTTGTTGTTTTGGATGATTATCTAGCTTGCATTACAAAATCAAGTTTTTCGTTTTACAACATCACCCATGTGCAGTAAACTTTTGTATTGGACACAAGCACATCTGTCTTCCAACTTTTTTGGAGATGAAGAGTCCTTGCTGGCATATTGTGTATCGTTCTGGATGTCACATTATAAGAAAGATGCAAATACATTGGAATGTGCACAGAAGTGGTTTACAAGAATGGTTTCAGGCTACGAGGATAGATTGAAGAAATTGCAGCTGTTTTCTTTGGAGAGGAGGCAGCTGAGTTTGAACAGGCTGTTATAAAACAAAACTGCAGCTGGAGATCTGAAACGAACAAAAACAGAAATTCCTGGAGAAAGGGAGAGGAATATGTCTCCACTGGTGGCATCCCTGGAGATAGTGAAAATGACGATTAATGATCTTTTGGATGTGGATGCTGGTGAGGTGGTAAGCAAGTGAGAACCATGGAGAACCTTTGCTGTTGTGGGAGGGAAGAGATGGGGTAAGGGCTGAAGTGGAGGAGCTGGGTCGGAGACAGCCGAGGGCTCCATCGACCAGTGGTGGGGAAATCACTGGTTGAGGAAAAACATGTCAGAGACCTCCTTGTAAAAGCTGGAATAATCAGTACAGATGCGAAGGAGATAGCAAAACTGGGAGAATGGAATGGAAGAGTTTTTCCAGCAATTTGTTTTTTTGTTTCCAGCATCCACAGTTTTTGTTTGAGGTTTTATTTTGAAGCTTTGCTTCTCCTGGCTTACTACTAACAATCCCTTGATCTACCGATCCTTTGTTCCTCTCCCTCTGGGCTCCTTCACCACCTATCTACTTGCCCCTTTTCCCTCCCAATCCCTCCATCATCAGCATATGCTTTTCTGAGCTACTTTCAATTCTGGAGGAGGTTCACTGGATGCAAGATGTTAACTGTTTTCTCTCCATAGCTGCTGCTAGACCTCCAGTTTCCCCCAGTAATTTCTCTTTTTGTTTGAGGGAGAAACTGTTCCCCTTGTGAAAGGAAGAAACAAGAACGAGAGTCATTCGGGTCAGTGATTTGCAAAAAGGAGCAAAGGAGGAAACAGAATTATTCCTCCAACCTCCAACACCCCGCGCCCCAGCTGAGTGTGTTAGGGTATGGAATGTATTGCCTGGAAGTATGAATCATGTAAGTTCAACTGAGGCAATCAAAAGGGGTGATTATCTACATAGAAATAATGTGCTAAGATATAGGGAGAAAGGAAGTCATTGGCACAAGGTAATAACATTCATCTGAAAAGTTGATGACAGCACAAGAGGCCCAATAGCCGTCTCCTGCTCTATAACACTGCTATAGGACCCACTGGCAATAGACACAATGGTGCCTTGCTTAAGTACAAACACAGGGCAGCATCTTAAACTTAGAGCCTAGATATTCATGTGTGACATCAAATGCTTCCTAATCTAAAAGAGGAGTGGAAACGTGTCCCCCTGAAAGCTCAAGGGTGAGTGAAAAGACAATATAAAACACCAACATGGAAGGCCACTAGATTTTTTTTTGAAAGCATGGTCTTACATATGAGGCGTTAAACAGAGACTTAAAATGCTCTCAAAATGTAATTGACATGAAACAATAACTGTTTCTCACACCACTGATAGCATGGGACCTGCCAAGTGTTTTCTGTTTGCATATCTGGGGCTCATTTTACAGATTAACACAGGTGCTGCATTTTGGAAAGGGAAATCAGGGCTGGATGTATACACTGAATGGTAAGGTCCGAGGGAGTGTGGCTGAACAGGGACCTTGGACTGCAGGTTCGTAGCCCCTTAAAAGAGTCGCAGGTGAATAGGATAGTGAAGAAGGCATTTGGTATGCTTGCCTTTATTGGTTTAGCGGATTGAGTACAGGAGGTGGAAGGTCATATTGCAGCTGTACAGTGGTTAGGCCACTTTTGGAATAC